GAAACTAAGAAATCAATGAATTAAGTTCTCCAAACCATACAGGTGGTCCTTGCCTAACGATCATTTGTCCAGCAACTGTTCAAACTTATGATGGTGCCGGATGAGTGGTAGTTACAACTAGTCCTCATACTTACGTCAGTTGCAGCATCCCCACGGTCATGTGATAGCAATTTACCACCTTCTCTGCTGGTTTTGTACAAGCAAAGTCAATGGGGAAGCTGGCAGGAAGTTGCAAATGGCAACCCCATGACATCCTCGCTTAACAAACTGCAGTGATTCATTTAATGATGGCAATCAAAAGTGCCAAAATTTCTGTTGCTAAGCGGCACAGTCATGTGATGTTGTGCTTTATGACCACGTCACTTAGCGACAGAAATTCTGGTTCCAGTTACTGTCCTTAAGTGAGAAATTACTTGTACTCCTTGACTACAATTTGTTTAAAAAATTAAAGAAGCAGACTGTTCTCTTGCCAACTGACTGAAAAAATTCAGTGTTATTACAGCAGTTAACAGTATTTCTGATTATGACGACTTGGCTTTTAGGGTTTATCATTCAGGATTCTGTGGCAATTTGTTGGGGAAATGTTTGGAGTTTATGATTCTTTCTTTTTCTAAACTACTATTTTTTGCTTTCTATTTCTGACTCTTTCCTTGTCCTTTTTACCCAGCATCAGTTTCCCAGGGAAGAGCCAGATCATTCTCATCAAGGAAAAAAAAATTGATTGCAATATCCTTATTGCTAGCTAGTCACCTACTTTGTTCCTTTTATACTCCTTGTTGAATTCTGCATTAGTTATCCTTGTGAGAGCTTCTGTCCTTGTTTCAAGGTCCAGCGTCTTAAAAATACAGTAAATTGCTCCCAGCTTCCATTTATACTACCATGCTAATTTTATGTATGAATAAATAAACTCTTTGCAGTCACCTCAAGAAGCTCAAATATTTGCTGTTTGTTTAGAAATGACAGCATTTAGGGAAGTTACAAATTTGTTTGTTATTTAATTGGTATTCAGTCATACCACAAGTTCCTTTGTGCTTTCTTTCTAGGAATTCAGGCATCTGTTGCTCAAAACAGTTCTAATAACAGAAAACAGAAAAACTGCTTTTTATGTGTTCACTAGCTTGAGAGCATGGTTGTTACAATAAATATGTTAAAAAATAAAAGATGGAAATGTAATTAAACACTAGGAGGTAGAGATGTTTTACAAGTATGTATATTTATTAGTGGCTATTTTGTGTGTGTTTGACACTATCGCTGTTCAGGCCTCATGTCTATACAGCTCTCTCTTGTAGAAATGTCTCTACACAAAATATAACTATTAATAATACAAACTTAAGGCAAATTAATAAAACAAATACATTACTTTTTCAGAGTTCAAACGTATCTTAGCAGCATATAAATAAATGGAGTAAAGACATTTGAACCTGCATTGTATGCTGCTTATTTGTTTACTTTTCTGAAGCAAGGCACTAGAGAAAGAAAACAAGAGAAAGAGCTATTAAATTAATAACTTTAGAGAAAAAGGTGCCACAACTTAGTTTGAAATGATAATAACAAATTAAAAATGTAAGAATCTGAATAAAGAAGAATCTGAAAGAGTGAGAATCTGAATAAAAAAGAGATTGGCAAAGGAGTATATAAGCTAGTTCTTAAGCATTAGAAATGAATGGCAGATAAAACCACAGAATAATAAGTCCAATAAATAACTAATTGTCAAGAAGCTAAAATGATGCAAATTCATGAGCCTGCAATGTTGCAGGAGGTTCACAGATATAGTACATATTGCTTTAGGGATACAGGAAGCATTAAGTGCTCTGCAAGTATCTCAATGACAGGTAGCCCCCAAGTTAAGAATGCCTGTGTTACAGACGACCCATAGTTAAGAAAAGAGCCTGCTGTACC